TAATATGTTAGTGGATTATTAAAAGTTTTTTACAAAATGTGTTTTACTGAATATTGTCTTACAGAAATCATATAAATATTTGAATTTATACCTTATATATTCCTATAAATACTTAACATTAATCAAAGCAAAAATTGGATGCACAAAGTATAATCACTTTTCAAAACACCTAAATCCAGTTACAAAAAAATTTATTAACTGAATTAAACATTTTCAATCTTGTTTAAAGGTTCTTAAGATTGAATAGAAAAATGGAACAAAAACAAATTTAAAAATACATACATTTGAATGATATGATTCATATTACCTGTCACATACTGAATATACAAAATGGTAAATACAGTAGACCCCCCTATAACACGGTAGATACGTTCTGTGTTTTATGAAATTCATGATGTATGAGTCCTTAAATACATGAGCCAATCACAGCCCGGCACGTATGCAGTTTACAGACTATGGCTGTTTGAAAGGTTTTCTTCCATAAAATTAATCGATTCTAGATTAATTTGACTCAACATTTCCAAAACACACATAATTTTTTGGGAATAATTCATATAAACTATGCTATAAAAAAAAATTGTAGGATTACTTACCAAGTGTGCACCGTTCAACAACACCATTGCTTAAGCTTGTTTTCGTCTTGGAGCAGCACATCGAACGGTGGGCACGTGTTTCCTGATAAATTATTTTTCTGCAAAAAATTTGCTGAACTTTGGAGATATCATTAATATAAATATAATTTTTATGGCCGTTAAATAATAAATGGTTTTTAGTAGGTCCGCTGCTCATTTAAACTCAACAGTTTGTGCAATTCGACCAATCCTGTTGCGACACGAGTCGGCAATGACGTTTTACTGTATCATACGAGTCTCATTTAGCGTGTTTAAACAAATACAATCACAATTTTTTCGTTGTTGTATACGAATCTGTATTATATGAACCTGTTTTATAGGGGTCTACTGTATTTAACATAAGAATAATATAAATATTGATACATAAAAATATTTTATGTAAAACATTACAGCCAAATGATTGCTAAATTATATCAGGATATGTTACTACTACCATTATTAATTAAATACTAAGTAATTTGGTACTTGAGACTAATTTGGTGTTAGGTGCCAAATTACTTAGTATTTAAGTAATAATAGTAGTAGTAACATAGCCCAATATAATTCAATAATCATTTGGCTTTAATATATAACTATCAGGTTTGGATATTTATAAAATATTACAGATATTCTGTCAAAATACAAATATTCCATTTAATAAAGGACTTAAAGGAATAAAAATAACATAAATATAATTTGCAAAAATAAATAGAAATAAAATTAAGATACACAAATTGAAAATCAAACATACATCATACATCAAAAATATAACATGGGACCTTTTAAAAATAATAATGTAACAAAATCAAAACCAGGTATACAAGAAAACTTCAAAAAATGCCCTCCACACATGCAACATTAGTGTTGTATCCCTATTATCAATTGCAGTCCCTTTATTAACATTTGCTAAAGTATCTAAGAGAAATGCAGCAAAACAAAGTGATGTAAGAGATGCTATGAGAGGATGGATTATAATGGATTTTCACCCTACCTTAAATGCTATGTATAAAAAAAATAGCTGCCTAGACCAACACCTTGATTATATTGAAACATGGTCAAACTGCCTAGACCAACACCTTGATTATATTGAAACATGGTCCAACTGCCTTTTGATTACTATCGAATGCAAAGGATGCATATCATATGGACAGAATCCCAGGAGTTTACTCAGTACCACTTATGACAACAGATTTGATAAGAACTTTTCTATGAAACTCACACTTTGTGTCCTTACTGTACATTGTTCTCCATTCTGGAAACTATTAAATGCAATGTTTTTTCTTACCTATTTTAAAAGAGGAAAGGATAAGGTTGTCAGTGACCCCAACCTTCACCTATGGTCCCCATTCAGTACCCTGTCTCCAGCATCCCCTTCTGTCTACTTTTCTCAGTGCCTTAATCAGAAAAGGTGTTTGGAGCAAACCTTCTTTCATGCCCTGCATAAAAACGAACTTTCACATAATAAAAGTTACATTATTGATGAAAATGTCTAAACGTCCCTAGATTTACTCACTACCCACAAAGGGCAGTAGTGTCCACCTTGGGAATTACTGCAATATGTAGTAATAAGGAAGCCATATAGTAGAATGTAGGATACATCTGTAGAAAGTTTTTCTTTGTTTATTTCATTACTTCATATTACAATTTTATTTATGTGGTTAAATAGTGTGGGCATTAATTAATATTGGAATAAGAGAAATGTTTAATTCCCATGTAAGATGTCAATTGAAGTTGGTGACATAGAAGAACAATTCTGTGTGTAGCGTCTTTGTAATCCAAATGTTAATTTTGGTAGACGATCAAGCAGCAATTAACGTTTGGATTATAAAGACGCTACACACAGAATTTGAAGATACAGCAACCATGTCTTCTACATAGAAGAACAAATTTGAAGTAAATTCCAGAAAATTGAGAATATTCAACTTCAACACAAATCTTCAGTCAAGCTTGAAGCTGGCCACTAAACAGACCAAAAACATTTTCACTGTATATTTCACATCTTGTTGCTGCTGGAAATGTATGTAAAGCTAATGTAAGTTACTGTTGTAATTCCAGCCATATATATAATTTCGTGACTTTTGATGATTAAATTATCACCTTCAAGCAATTGGAACAAAAATGAAATAAGAACATTAGAATATAATCATAAAAGAGTAATGTAAATAGTATTTTGTAATTGCTTCTAGATCTTCATAATACTTTTACAGTTGAATTTTGATATAAAGAAGAATTTTGAGTAAAATGAAATTATATTTATACTGTTCAGAATGTTGGTTTAAAGAAGTGTTGTCCTTTGATCTTTACCACATCCAAGACAAGATCAGAGATATATTGCATCAAATTATTGGCAAAATTAAATTAAAATATGCTTTTTTGGTATATTTTTATCATCTATCAGTTCCATAGCTGTGAAACATCCTTATTTATCTTTTATCCAGTTGATATGCAATATGTAAATCCTCTAAACCATAGATTATGAAAAACTAGCTTGTTACACTCTGTGTTTTCTGGGTTTATAAAAGTAACCGTTGCAGTAATTGTTATACCTGGCATTATTAATCATAAATTTCAAAAATGTAAGTGGTACATTTTAAGAACTTTTATCAGAATGCCTATAAACTGTGGGAAATAAATAGCAAGTTTATAGAAAAAATTATTAGAATTAGTTTGGTTTATTTGGTATTGCAACATGACAAGTGGATGATCTGCCAAGGAGGGATTTCTCCTGGGAGGACTTCTATGGGAAACTGACTCCTATATAGGTATTATTAATGAGAAGAAAGCCCAGAAAACTCCATGTGGCCAGCCTGTTGATGTGCAAACTAACTAACTATTAGTGTTTTGTGGTTTTATCCATTTGGATAAAACCACAAAACACTGGACACTTGTTAGAATTAAGAAAGTTACCATTCAGAAATGAAAAAACCTGAGTTGTTAGATGTAAAAAATTAAATACTTATATAGTTTTTTCAGTGTAACACTTTCGACTCCACACATGCAATTGTTCTGTGCTACCCATCTCAGTAATGATATAGTCCATCTATTTTGCAAAATAGATGGACTATATCATTATCCTTATCATATTAAGTGAATAAAATAATTATTTTTTTCTTAATTATACCCTATTTTTTATGAATTATACTTAGTCTATTATTTTTTTAAGTTTGTTTTTTGAGACATCATGAAGTGGACATAGACACTGGACTTTTTCACATCCACTTTATTTTCTTATCCTTTGGTTTTTTATTCTTTCAAGAAAATACAGTGCTGTCACAGTGACAATGATAGCTGACTTACCAAGTAACAAATAACAAACAAACCCATAAACTTAAAAAAGGACTAAAAATACAAATAGTAAAAACAATAAACATATAAAAATTAGAACAGTTAAAATAATTTTGTTTTCTAATGCAGGATAACAGTCGTAGAGAAGTTTTTACAAATGGATTTAAATTTAAAGTAATCAAGAAAGAATAGATCTTCAATGGTTACAGCAGTCTTTTGATACCTGTAGAAAAATGATTTAAGTGTAACATTAAGGCAGGCAAATAGAGAATACATACAAGCAGAATCTCTAGAATTAAAAGAAGCTCCATGTTGTCAAGGCAAGCAATAGCAAGCTCCACATGTAGTTGTGCACTTCAGTGTAAGCAACAGCAAGCATCTCAGTGCCTGGACCCCACACCTTCTAAAACTATATAACATCAAGTATGCCACAAACAGTTAAATGGGCTACTTGAAGTCAGCATAGTCATGTGGGCTACATAGTTAAACATGATAGTCTTATTGGAGTGACACAGACGACAGTATCGTGCATCAGATTAAAATTACAACTGGTGTCCCATTAACAGAAAAGTACCAAATTTTTATTTCATTTTGCTTTCTAAACTTATAAATTATCAGAATTAACTTTTCAATGAATTGTTAATCACATTTAAATATTTTATAAATGAGGTCAAATAAGTTAAAAGCATTTAAAATGTAATTACAGTATATTGAAAAATAATTCAGTATTGTAAAAATTTCTTATTATATAATTATTTTTAGTCTTTTTAATGAAAGTTTTGAATCTCAATAATAAGCAGCAGTTGCTCCATAGGCACAAGTCTAATTGTAGTTTTAAAATCTGTATAACCCACACTCCTTTCAAATTGTCTTTTAAGCACAAACTGCAGGTTATATGCACAAAAATCCAGTATTTCTAGTGTTCTGTTATAATCATTGAATAAATTTGGTCACTGTAATTTTACTTTAAAGATATTATTAATAATAAACTTATATTTAATTATATTGAAAGAAATGCATTATAATATTACAAATTATGTTCTTAATTATTTTGAATTTTAAACTTTTTTAATACAGTTTCATAAAATATGGTATCTTTTTCAGGATTGTGGTATGCAGTTAACAGATGAGCCAGACAAACGCTGCTATCCTCTAGAAAATCATTTGCTGTGTCGAGATTGTCATCTTAGAAGATTAGAAATGCAGGGTCAGAGTCCCACGATGCAAACATTACCAAGAATGCCGTGTTAGTGATTATTAAAAACAAAAATCGCGTCATGAATGAATGATTATTTTGCAGGGTGACTGACTGGTTGATGTATGAAAAGATTTTGTTTTGTTTTTACTTATTATAAAATCTATATCTTGTAAGAATTATGTGATAAGTCAATATTTTCCCATAATATTTAATTTAATGTGCCATAGAAAAACTTAGAATCAAGTTTTAGTTTTCTTGGATGTCATTATACTGGTGAGTCATTGTATATATACAGTAACATATTTTATAGCAAAATAAAATTTGAATGAGAAATGTATTAATATATCTAATGTCCAATACAAAACAAAGTTACCATTGCACAAGTACTTCAAATTGATTTATAATTTTTCATAGAGCCGTAATTAAATTTCTTTATTAATTAGCATAATAAATATATTTTGTTAAATAAATTTTTCTTATATATACATATTTATAATTAAATTTTTATATTATGCTATACATATTTAGATATAAAATATTTTAAATCTCTTATTTGCAAGATCTGTTGAATGTTATTTTTCAAATTAGATGCCAAATCTTGTTCAAAAGTGCCAATAAAAAAAATATATATATATATAATTCCTTTTAATTAAAAAAATGAATATATAATTATTTTAAATGTGCAATTTTTACGTGTAGTCAATCTAAAATAATTAGTGACATTGTAATTTTTATTGCTGGATTTTGTACTTAGATAAAGCAATGTCAATCTAGAGATACGTGGTGTAAAACGTAACAAAATTTAAGTTATAAATCTAATAATTTTTGCGCAATTATTTATTGGTTGCTCACAATATTATACGTCTCAATTAGGGCCATCTTAAGAGATTTAAATGAAATAATAATAGATCTCATTGTAGTGCAATTTATTGACTTTTGTATATCCACTATGATCATAGAAGTAATTCCCATTTGTATACTTCATCTCAGTCTCTCTGAAGATTAATATTGGCCCTATCCACCAATTTATTTTGTAGTTTTATACATATGTATTTTTCAAATGTGGTATTTTATGATTTAAGATGTATGTCATACTTATGAACAAAGTCTGTGTTAAGAAAGATGTGTTATTTGTAAGGAATGCATTCTGTACTTAATCTAATACTTTTGATGTTTTAAGCAGAATCATATATTTATCACTTAAAAGTTGGTGTTGTTAAATTACAAATTGCCAATTTACAATGTTAAAAGATAAAAAGACAAACTTAAACACAATTTTTAGCCATAGTTCCCTACAGTTCACTATAATGCATTTAGTATTATTTGTTGTGTGTTATTGTTATTATAGTAAATTGTTAACAGATTGCATTTAGATTCCTAGTGATCAGGTGAAGTGTCTTAAAATGTGCCTACCTACAGCAACCCAATAAATTTAATCATCTTATTTAATATCATAAACATTGAGATGCTGTGTTTTTGTTTTCATTTTTTTTAATCTAATAATACATATATATTTTAAGTGAAAATGTTTGTAACTCTCAGGTAATTATTGTACTAAGTTATAAATGAAATTTTAAGAATTCAATATTTGTAACTAAGCACAATTTTCATTGTAAAAGTTGATTGTTTTAATATTTATTGTGCAATACAATCAAATGTAACTTTCACAATATATTCAAAATTATGAAAGTGAAACTGATTATCCATTAAATCTAATATTAATAAAATTAGAGAAGTGATCTTTTGTCATTAATTATTAATAAAAGAAAATTTATGCAAACTTACTGATAATTTAAGTATTTATATGATGCAATTAATATTTAAACACAATGTAATATTTATCACTTTAAAAAAAATCCTTTTAAAATTTATTAAATTCTTATTTATAATTACTAACAATTATATTTTGTACCATATATTATTAAAAAAAAGCCATAAGCAATCATATGCCAGTTAACATGATGGTCATTTGACAGATGTCATTTTTATCATTAAAAGCTGTCAGATTTTCATATTTGAAGTCCAAGAATACATCACGTTCATTTAAGTTTTATTCATTTATGATATGATGAATTTAGTTGGAATTCTTCACTTAAATATTTGTTATGCAAAATATCTGAGAAGAATATTTCATATCAAATTGATGAGATAGAAATTCAGATATTTAATATTAAATTATCTGTTTACTTGTAAGTTATTTGCAAATATACAATAACAGATAAATTCTCAAGTAAAACTTTTATTTTAACATGTAAGAATTTTAGTTTTTTCCTGTCAAGAAAAAATTGATTTGCATATTTAGCTACCATTATTTTTAATTTAATATACTCCAAAATGTATGCTTTATAATTTTAAAAATAAATCTTTACAAAATTGTGAAAAGCATGCAGAAATATCAAAATAAATTTTAGATAATTTTTGCATTTTGTCATCATGTTTTTCTTAATTATAAATTATGCATTTATGTGATATTTTTAAATGTATTTATACAGATTTAATTATATAATATGTAGCTGTTTAACTTCATTAGGAAAATTTACTACAGCATTATTAATAACTAAAAAAAATTTTTTTAACTTCCCTTTTCATATCATTAAATTAATTCTACAACAAATAAAACGTTCATTTTTAATTGCAAAATTCCATTTGTTCTTGCATTAATAATTTAATTTTTAAAAAATTACAAAAGTAAATTTTTAATTATTTTATAAACATGTACAGTATACCTAAATGAAATTTCATTCCTATTGTTATTGTTATCTACACTATCAAATAAAAATAACTTGATGATAATCCTACACACGATCCAGATTTCATGGATTTTATACATTTCCTCCTCTCAACATAAATCTGAAGTTTAAAGAAAAAAATAATAATTTTATTTTCTGCTCCATCGCCTCTTCTCTCCTTCCAACTGTTCAATAACCCTTGGCTCCTGTCTGGCTCACAGCATCGATCTTTGTAAGATGCTCTATTGAAATAACAGGACATTATTTTAACTTTTTTCTTTTTTTTTATCTCTAATCAAAAACGTTAAATGGCTATAATGATTGCTTTGTCAAACTAATGACATAATTACTTCTGTAACTGATGCGATATGATTTTTAAGATTTTTACACTTAATCGCTTTAAGAGGGCCCTTAAAATTTTACTCGCACAAAAAAGAAACTTAAAATATAACCTTGCAACTTTTAAAAAAATAACTAAAAATCATCATTTAATTTAGAAGTAAATAAATAGACTTGATTTATAGTTTTGCCTAATTTTTAAATCTTGCATCAGTGTTATCAATAGTTTTATCGCATCGGTTGCTACAATTAATATTCTCACTGTATTGCATGTTAAACCTGTTTAACTTATATTTATGAATGCAATCGACGGACAATTACTATTGATTATGTTATATCAATCCCTTTGCAGTCATAATTTTTTTTATTGAGATGATGCATCAAATCCTCAAACATTGTGTTTGTAGTGAAAGTCGAAAAATAATAATGTCGTAGGTCATATCATATCTTTATCGATAATCCCGTATTTAATTTATAGCGTCCTAGATCTTTTTTGAGATAACCTAAAATTAATAAATAATGAAAATGGTGATAATATAGTTCATGTAATTTATATAACTCGAATTTGCCTTTGAATCTCTATATTGTGAAAAAATAAATTTAAATTTCTTTAGATAATGATCTATTTTTTCGTTAGAATGAACAATAGAAATTGACAAAAATTTTATAAACGGAAATTCATGGTGGCTTAATAGAAAAATCTTTTATTTTCAAATTTATATATAAAAGTCATTTTTACGAACCTGAAATAAATGAAATAATTGCATGGAAATAGGACAAGATGGAAATATATATAATGAAAAAGAAAATTTATAAATAATAAAAATACAGAAAATAAATAAATTTATCTTCTTTACTACGTGAATGTTTGACTTGACTTGCTTCTATTATAAAATTTAAAAAATGCAAAATTTAATTATTATTTTAAAACACAAATTCATTTCTAAATAGAATATTTGCGTAAATTTTATTCATTACATCTCTCCCATGTTAACTTCTTAAAATCTTAACCTTTAGAAACTCCGTCACGATTTTAATATTAATTCTCATAATCAATAAGGTCATTAACCCACATAAAAGACGTCCATTTAACTTGTACTCGTTCCTATCTTTCTATAATAATTTAAAGGTATTTAATGAATAATTTGCTAAGAAATAAAAGCGCAAGATCCTTAATCGGTTTCGTTTAAACGATATTAGGACCCGGCGAAAATTTGTCCCCTTTGAACTCTAGGAAATGGCGGATGTGACGTCAGATATGCACGATGCAGAACGTAGCAACTGTGTCGATTGTCATTGGCTGATCGCTCGCCACCTTCCACGATCAGTACCGTGGAGGTTCTGCTCCCAAACCTTTGACGTGTGGTGTGTGTCGACAAAAAGTGAGGAAATAACGCAACCATCGTGGACGAGGTTGCCGTTGAAGGATATTTTTACAGTTAGTTTACGTCGTTGTGTGTTGTGTAGTGTGTGTGTGTGTGTGTGTTTGTGTGTATATCTCCGTTTCTTTATCGTCTTACTTGGAGCCGAACCCCTTAAAGATGGGGTGTGCAATGAGTGCCGAAGAGAGAGAGGCTCTAGAACGAAGCAAACAGATAGAGAAGAACCTTAAAGAAGATGGTCTTCAAGCGGCAAAGGATATAAAATTACTATTATTAGGTAAGCCTACCTTCAAACACCTGTAGATTTTTGGTTATTCGTAGATAATTCCAATTTTATATTACAGGTGCCGGTGAATCGGGCAAGAGCACTATCGTGAAACAAATGAAGTAAGTTGCTTTTTCTTTAATCTATATACTTGTAACTACTGACTAACACCCGTCTGTACGTTTGAAATGGGTGTGGCGTGTAATAACTCGGTAACGGGACATTAGAACCGAGACAAACCTACCACTGTATATCATAATTTACGAGCGCTTCTGTCAGGAACGCCATAAACACCGATAAAAAAAATTCATTCTTTCGAACTAATTATAATATTTAATTAAGCCATCTGTTTATAATAAATATAACAACTTACATAGATATACAAATATATTTACAGTATATATGAGGGTTATTCCAGTTGCCATCTTGGTTATCAGAAATCAATATAGTATTCGGCGCCATTTTGAGAGGGTCGGCTTTACGGCGTGACAGATCTGCTACACACAGCTGTCACATTGCTAGGAACTTTGTAGCTTATCTGCAATAGAACACTGAACGAACTGTAAACTAAGGAAATGTAAATACGGATCCCATTCGATCTAATTTTAAAGGATTTGAGAATCGTTATATAGATTTACAAATAAATAAGCTTTCTAGAAATAATATATATACATTATGACTATTATTTTGTTTTCATTTTTTGTGTGCAGTGTTTAAAATTTTATAGTGCAGTTAGCTAAAATAGTTGCGTGTGTTACTCTATTGTAAAAGGGTCGAAGAGTAGACTTATGTCTTGTTCTCATATGAGTCTATTTGTCGTTGTGAATACTTAATCTCATCGGATACGAAACGTTGGACTTATGCATACACGAAATAGTGTATTGAAAGTCTGGTGTTCTATATCGAAACTTTACCAATTGTAATTGCAATCCTTAATTAAATATGTAGATAATTTAGGTAAACTGAGGTAAATGAATCGTATTCGGTGTTTTCCCAAAATTTCGGAGCATTCGAATAACGTTCACGAGTACTTTAAAAATTACAGAGTATTGTCGTGACGTCACTAGTGTTTGTCTTCCGTTATTATAATATTCATCGAGTGTATCTCTCGGAAAGTGTTTTAGTGCAAATGCCATTCGTTTTCGATTAAATTAATAATCTTTTTATAAAGACTTTTAAAAAGTAATGTGTTTACGTATTATGTAAAATAACCGCTTAGGTAATTAAATTGCTATGTAATTTATTATAAATAGCATGCGTTTGATTTAATATTTGATTAATTATATGCTGCTAAATAAAGGGGAAAAAAGTAAAGTTATCGATACGGGCAACGTAAATTAAATTAGTTAATTTTTATTAATTGTATTTTTTATAAAGGAAAGTCGGTCACGTGGTATTTTTGAAAATGGCTATTTTAAAATGTCGAATTAATTTTTTTTTTTTTTAATATTTGTCTTTTTTCTCATTTTGGTCATTTTTTTATTAACATTTGCCTAAATTTTATGCATTTTTAATTTATATCGTCCGAGTGAAGAATAATAACATGAATTAAATTTGTATCTTCCATCATTGTTAATATTTATTTTATGCTATTCGATACACGAACTTCAGTTTGTTGTCCGAAAATATAAATAATAGGATATATTAAATGTCTAAAATTCAATTAGATAAATAGTTTTCCCTGCATGTTTTATAAGTATAAATAAAAAATAATTTATTTTGACAAGAAAATAAATATATTATTGAAATAAATTTCTTTAACTAAAAAACCTCTTTTTCAAAAATATTTTTGCTCAGTTTTTTCAATAACTGAATTTTTTTTATGTTCGTAAACATAAGCAAGGAGTTTATATATATATATATATAAACTCCTTGCTTAGTGAACAAATATATATATATATATTTGTTTGCTAGGCTGTTCGAAACTAAAAAAAAAGGTCGTATCGATTATTTAAAATCCAAAAATTCGTTCTTAAAAAATGGTTGTAACTTAATCCGTTATATTTGAAACCCATACTTTACATTTTAAACCTCTTATACTGTAACCAATTTTAGTTTTTGAATTCTTCAATTTCTTAGAATTGCACATCATAAAGTTGCTTCCCATAACTGTTTGTATTTGTTTTATACCATCCGATACAAGATCATCACTTTGTCGTTTCATAATATAAATAATAAGACAAACTGTATATATATATTTTGATATTCTATTATAGGCACATCAAAGTTCATCTCTAAATTTAAAGCCAAGCTAAAATATGTATATTGTCATTTATTATTACCTTAACAAGAGAACATATCTCTGTTTTAAAAATGATATCTCAATAATAAGTTTCCATTTAAATTTAATTAAATTTTAATTTTTATCTATTAAGAGTCCTACTGAATTAAAAAAAATATCCAGTCATTTTTCTCTATATTTAAATAGTACAAATTTTTGTTTAATAAAATTATGTGTAGTGTGTGTGTGTGTGTGTGTTTGTGTGTATATCTCCGTTTCTTTATCGTCTTACTTGGAGCCGAACCCCTTAAAGATGGGGTGTGCAATGAGTGCCGAAGAGAGAGAGGCTCTAGAACGAAGCAAACAGATAGAGAAGAACCTTAAAGAAGATGGTCTTCAAGCGGCAAAGGATATAAAATTACTATTATTAGGTAAGCCTACCTTCAAACACCTGTAGATTTTTGGTTATTCGTAGATAATTCCAATTTTATATTACAGGTGCCGGTGAATCGGGCAAGAGCACTATCGTGAAACAAATGAAGTAAGTTGCTTTTTCTTTAATCTATATACTTGTAACTACTGACTAACACCCGTCTGTACGTTTGAAATGGGTGTGGCGTGTAATAACTCGGTAACGGGACATTAGAACCGAGACAAACCTACCACTGTATATCATAATTTACGAGCGCTTCTGTCAGGAACGCCATAAACACCGATAAAAAAAATTCATTCTTTCGAACTAATTATAATATTTAATTAAGCCATCTGTTTATAATAAATATAACAACTTACATAGATATACAAATATATTTACAGTATATATGAGGGTTATTCCAGTTGCCATCTTGGTTATCAGAAATCAATATAGTATTCGGCGCCATTTTGAGAGGGTCGGCTTTACGGCGTGACAGATCTGCTACACACAGCTGTCACATTGCTAGGAACTTTGTAGCTTATCTGCAATAGAACACTGAACGAACTGTAAACTAAGGAAATGTAAATACGGATCCCATTCGATCTAATTTTAAAGGATTTGAGAATCGTTATATAGATTTACAAATAAATAAGCTTTCTAGAAATAATATATATACATTATGACTATTATTTTGTTTTCATTTTTTTTAATCTAATAATACATATATATTTTAAGTGAAAATGTTTGTAACTCTCAGGTAATTATTGTACTAAGTTATAAATGAAATTTTAAGAATTCAATATTTGTAACTAAGCACAATTTTCATTGTAAAAGTTGATTGTTTTAATATTTATTGTGCAATACAATCAAATGTAACTTTCACAATATATTCAAAATTATGAAAGTGAAACTGATTATCCATTAAATCTAATATTAATAAAATTAGAGAAGTGATCTTTTGTCATTAATTATTAATAAAAGAAAATTTATGCAAACTTACTGATAATTTAAGTATTTATATGATGCAATTAATATTTAAACACAATGTAATATTTATCACTTTAAAAAAAATCCTTTTAAAATTTATTAAATTCTTATTTATAATTACTAACAATTATATTTTGTACCATATATTATTAAAAAAAAGCCATAAGCAATCATATGCCAGTTAACATGATGGTCATTTGACAGATGTCATTTTTATCATTAAAAGCTGTCAGATTTTCATATTTGAAGTCCAAGAATACATCACGTTCATTTAAGTTTTATTCATTTATGATATGATGAATTTAGTTGGAATTCTTCACTTAAATATTTGTTATGCAAAATATCTGAGAAGAATATTTCATATCAAATTGATGAGATAGAAATTCAGATATTTAATATTAAATTATCTGTTTACTTGTAAGTTATTTGCAAATATACAATAACAGATAAATTCTCANTTTTGTATGGAAGCACTTTTATTTATCGTCATGTATAAAAATTATTTTTAAAAAATTCAAGCAGTTTTATACACAATTTAATTATTTAAATAAAATGTACACAGTTTTAAATGTAACTCTCAAAAATTTTCTTCGTGTGAATTACCGGTTTTAAAGAAAAGAATCGCAATTGTATTCGCTTTTCCTACTTTTTTTTATGTATATAATTTCTGATTGTTTCGTTATTATAATTGGTGTGAAGGTCGAATACTTTTTTTCAAAGATATATGTCACAGATAGAAAATGTTTAAAACGGTGTAATGAGGTCATCTCTTTATTTTCTTCAAGTAGCCTACTTCTATATCAAGTTCTTATTATTCTCTTTATATTTTTATATACAGATGCAGATATTGATGTCATACGGTACTACAAAATAGTTATTTCGTAATTTTAATCGATATATGTTATATTACAAGATACAGATTATCTATGTATCGACTTTGTTATTAGTCATAATGTCTTCAGCAAAAGTATTTTCCAAAATGGCAACTGTTGTACAATGATTCAAATTTTATTATTTATATTGTGATTCTAGTAACCCCGTCAGAAAAAAGTAACTCCAGTTTGAGGATTCATTTCTCTTTTTACCATTGTTTCTGAGCTAAATATATGATTTTGAATTTGAAAATTTTATTAGTAAAATATTTCAGATTATCGGCGACAAGTTATGGAGAATATTTATTATATAACAGAAACAGAAGAGGGGAAAATCTATAAATAATGTAAATACAACAATGTAAACTTGGAAAAAATGATTATTGTTCTTTCTCTTTTGTTAAGTTTCTATGTATAAGATTCTTACTTATTTATAATGAATAAAAATAATAATATAAATAAAAAATGGCCTAAACAACCTTTATATTCTAGCCTATAGAATACAAGAATAAAATCATCACGCAGTATATGCTTTAATTTTTGATACATGATAATATAAGTTCATGCAGTTGTCTTAGCGTGTATATAGAATATTAATATGCATTATACACGCAGACAAAACTTCGTCAACCGAACACAGTTTATTTTACAGCAATGTCAATTTCCTAGTTTAATTTTTATTTTCAGAATAGTTTTTGTATGCTATTGTTATGTGTGTTACTCGTAATTCCTCAGTATCACGGTGTATTTGTCATTCATTACTCCCACTAACGCCATATGAGATTATCAATATTTAATCACTGTAGAAACACTTTTAAAGAAAACTTTGTATTATTTATATTATATAGGCTATAAAAGAGATTTCAATTTATAAACAAACAAAACGTGGGTTTCTTCCTCTTTTTTAACACGAATTTATTATTAGTATTACAATAGATCAGTTTGATTTATATCAACATTAAATTTGGTAGCAAATTCCTCTCGCGGTTTAGGAATTGTGCAAATGGGTATCTTTTATCATCAGAGAAAAATGCCAACTGGATCTTTCTACCTCTTTCCATTTAATGGATGAATTCGAAAAATTCTGTCTACTACATTAGAAAATGAAAATAAGTATCAGATATTTTTATATGTATCAAAAGAATTTCAAATAGTTTATACCGTTCAAAAATGAAATTTTACAGCTTTGAAAATGCTACGATGACATATTCTTATCATCAAGGTTCATTACGCTAAAGCTATATATGAGCGTTATAGAAATGGGAGTATAAATAACAGTATGATAAATTAAATAGAATGATATAAAAATGTAAATTTGCTTCTGTTTTATATATTTTATAGATATGTCAGTCTCCGTTGTAGCAAGTTTTTGGTTATCCTAACACTATAGCCTAATACAGTATTATAGATTTATATGATGTATTTATATGCTAGATATTACCTATTTAAATANGCACATTTTCTTTTTTCCGACTTAATTAATTCGACTCGGTTCTTTTCGTTCTCTCCTCAGTTATGTGTATTACGTCATCAATATACAAGCGTGTCCTATCTCTCCATCACTTTGCTTTTGGTTTTCGTTAGTTTAATCTTATTTTAACTTTAAAAATTCTGTATTTTTTTATAGTTTCTACGGAAGCAGAAGAATAATTATTCTCCCGTATTACAGTAAATGTTTAAATGCGTTACGCTTTATTACATTTATGAAAAAGTGTAACACACTTAAAATTTATTGTAATACGGGAATATAATTATTCTACTACCACAGAAACAATTATAAATATGGGTTATAAAAATTCTGTATTTTTTTATAGTTTCTACGGAAGCAGAAGAATAATTATTCTCCCGTATTACAGTAAATGTTTAAATGCGTTAAACTTTATTACAGATGTGTAAAAGGTCGCTTAATTCTGATAAATAAAACATTTGAGATATTTAAATCCTGTAAGAATTTGTTGAAATATGATTGAAGTGCAAAATCATCAGTAAGAAAATTTAATATTTTCTAAACGAGTTGAACGATTGTTTCCTGTTTACTTAGAATTAAGTAGAATTTTCAAAAATACTCATATAATATTTTAAAATTTTAATAAATGCTAAATGGAAATTTAATTTGGGCTTCTTCATAAAAAATTATGTTCAAAATATATAAATTCTTGTTGATTTTTTTTTTAATTATTATTCTTACAGTATTGAAGTTATGTATACAGTACGTTTATTCGCAATGATTTGATCATTTCTTTATACTTTTAAACGATATTAATGACATTTTAAACAATACATTAAGTGGAAAAGTAGAAATATGTTAAGAACTTTCTCTCGAATCAACATTACTTCTATGTTATAATAATCTATAACATTATAGCATACGAAAATTCTTTAATAAATATTTAAATAAATCCGATTGAACTTCTCTATCAAGAATGTAAAGCAAAGAAGTAATGAATCGCAGCTGCACTTTCATATTTTTAATAGAAAAATCCAAAAACGTTAAAAAAGGTGAATAAATTATGAATATGAAACTTCAATTTTTAATTATGTAAGATGATGATTAATTTTTAAATCTAATTTACTTGTTTTTTTTCTGTTAAAATATTGCGATTAGTTACGATATCGTTCTTTTAATTGTGTTTTTTTTCAGTAATTCATTGATTTCTTATATGCTTCTGTAACAGACCACAAGCAACAGTTTTCATTGTAAACTATACTAATCTCAATTAAAATAAAAATAATTCTTTATTTATCCGTATAAAAAGATAAAATGGTAGAATTAAGATACAGATGTAATCAAAATAATAAAATTAACATTGTTTCTATTCCGTTATTCATTCGAATAAATTTTACAACGAATTTTGCCTACCTAATTCGTGTCGTAAAGCAAAAAATACATTGAAAAATAAGAACCTATTTGCTTGCTTAATTATATAATTTATTTAAGTTTTGTACAACGTTGTTAAAATTTATAATGTTTGATAAATAATTTAGGCATTTTTAATCTTCAAGATCTGGATTTTTAAAAGTATAAATAGTAATTACGATAGAGATGTCGTGTTGCAGAGATAATAGTTATGTTTAAACGAAATGCCTATATTTGATATTGCTACACATTTTGATTTAATTATTAACGATTATTGTCACTGCATGTGTTGTCGGTGAAGTGTGACGTCACCGGATGATTATCGACGCGTCGCTAGCATGAACAATTATGTGTCCTGAGGCGTCGCCTTCTTATCGGCAAAAATTTTAATTTCTTTGATATTGAACGCC